ATTTCTTTATTGATTTCAGAGAGAGGAAAGAAGAGGGAGAGAGAGATAGGAACATCAATGATGAGTCATTGATCAGCTGCCTCCTGCACGCCCCCGACTGGGGATCAAGCCCGCACCTCGGGCATGTGCCCTGACGGGGAATCGAACCCCGATCTCCTGGATCCTAGGTTGATGCTCAACTGCTGAGCCACGCCCGGCCAGGCACATTACGAAGAATTTTAAACATGCCCCAAAGAAGAGAGAATAGACTGACCTCTGCGTACCCATTTTCAATCACTCCATCTATCCTGTTTCTCTTTTTCCTCTTTTCTGAATTATTTTGAAACCAATCCCAAAATCATGCCTGTTCACCCCTAGTCTCTGGTGCACATCCTTTTAAACGTGGGCATTTGCTGACCCACCCATCATGTCCTGTCACACTTAACGGGAATGTTTTAAAAACACATTTAAAAAATAATTCCTGGATGACATTGACTGCCCAGTCCATCCTCAATCTCCTTGTCTCAAAAATAACATTTTACAAATGGCTTCTTCAAATCAGGATCAAAACAGGGTTCCAGTAAAGCTGTCGTGCGTGTTTTAAAAACAGAAGCGGGGTCCTGGTGCCCTCAGCTTCCCTGCGAGCACGGCAGGCTCAGGCCACTGACTCCCAACCCCTGAGGGCCTTCTCGTACATAGATGGACCATCGTATTTTAGACCATTTCTGAATTTCGGGGTAATTAGATTGTTTCCAGTTCTCTTGTTTTTGTCCATCAAGAGTGTTGCTAGAATAGTCATTTGTCCTTATTACAGAAACCCTCCCCCCAAAAAAAAAGCCAAATGCAAGTCAAAGGCAGCCCAGGCTGAGAGAAGCCTCCTGGCCCCTTGGAAATGGGGTCTCATGTCTGGGGCGGTGCTGCCAGCTCCTGAGCCCAGCTCCCTCCTCACATCCTTCCTGAAGCCACTCAGCTGCTCTAGGTCTGGCTGGGTCTCGATTTATAAGAAAAACAACTGGGGAGGGAGACCGGAGGGAGCTCTAGCACCTGCTGGAGACTTGGCTGTGTTTACGCGGAAGGAAACCCAAATCTCTCAAGCTCAGGGAGCCCCCGGGGAGCTGCTGCTTCCACTTCGTTTCCTCCGGCAAACAGGATGTGAAACCATTGTCCATTGTCCGTTCCTCGGTGTGGCCTTGTGGAGCTGGCCTTTCGTGATCCAGAATGTGAGGAAGGGCCGGGATGCTTTTGGATCTGCCTGCACCTGGGAAGAGGAAGCCTGCAGGTCTAACGCTGCCACGTTTGCTCTGGGGCCCTCCTCCCGCACCGCGCGCGGACGCTGGGGGCCTCAGGCCTGTGTACCTGCCTGGCTGTTCGAGGTGGGCGTGGGGACAGCACACACCTACGGCCAGCTTGCTTAGGGCCTGAGGTGTCCCTTCCTCTGGTGAGGAAGGACTCCAAGGACGGAATTTTGAATCCAGATCCATTCTCCGTGCTTTTTCTGGCTTTGGATTTTTGTTGTTGTTTTTAAATTACAGTTTCTTTCAACCAGATAAAAAGAACCGAAATTTATTTTGTAGGGACTCTCTTAGAATGTGCACTTAGGCCCAGAGGAATGTGGAACATTTTGCAAAACTCTTGGCTCTGCTCTTGCTGACCCAGCAGAAGCCAGGTGGTTTGTCTAGAACGTGTCTGGATGTGTCCGAACGAAAGCCCCGTCTTTTCTTTCCCACACCAGCCATTGCTGAAGGAGCTGCTCTGGCAGAGGGGGAGGTGGGGAGCTGTTTCTGAGAAGCTTTCTCAAGGATCCTGGTCTCAAAGGATGTAAAACTTCTCGGGAACACATGGGCGAGGCGGCCAGCAGGGCCGCTCGCTGTCCCTGTGGGCAAGGAAGCGGGACCCAGCCCTGCGTCGGTGTCCCTCTGACACGGGACACCTCAGGACACAGCAGCCTCTGGGAGGGGGAGCCCAGCTAGTGATTTCATGTTGGCTCATCGAGGTGGAGCAACAGAGGAAAAGCCCGAGGGGAAAGTAACTAACTTCGAAACAGAACTTGGCTGGAAATGAAGGGCCTCTCTCTGTCCATGTCCTCTGAAAGAAATCCCACAAAGAAAATGGAAGAGTTGGGTTCTTGCTGTAAGTTTTATGTTTATTTCAATTCAAACTTTTAGAGGATGGCTCTTCTGAGGCCTCCCTGGCCATGGGCGTGCACTCAAGTCCCTGCAAAATGCAGTCCCTGCCTGTGGAGGCAAAGGGCCCGAGGCTGGGAAGCAGCCCCAGCCCAGCCCATGGCTGAGGAGGCGTCAGGTGAACAAGGAATTTGCCGCGAAGCACTGGGCAGGCCCCTGGAATCCCACTGGCTGGAGACATGCAGGTTCGGAAGTGGTTTAGTTTATCTGACCGGATACATTCTTATCTATTACTAATCGCCTCCACCTTCTGCGGTAGCAGTGACCCTGTCTAACCTTCAGTGGCTTTTCTGTGACCTTTTAAGGTGACTACAGTCATTACTGCATGGGCCACACACAGCCATTACAATTTATATTAATTAAAACAAAATCAGGTTTAAAGTTCAGACACTCAGTCACACTAACCACATCTCAAGTGCGAGCAGCGGCACGTGGCATTGACAGCGCAGAGACGGAAGGCTCCCTTGTCACTGGAGGTTCTATGGGAAGGCGCTGGGGTGGGCTATGCAGGAGTTGGCAGCCTCTTAGATGGGTGTGCCAGGTTACACGCAAGCTCACAGAATCCCCACACACCCCTTTTCTCTCACTAGGGGGCGTGGTGGGTGGGATCGGGATACACCCCACAAGGGTGGTCCCTGTGACTGCCACTTTCTGGCAGGATTCTGTGCAATGCTGGGTGCAACTGTGGACAAGACAGAGCGTGCCGAGGCCTTCAGACACTTTCCCCCCTGCCAAGTGCTGGGGAGATAAAGCCGAGGGAGCAGAATCCTACCCTTGAGGAGCTCAGAGAGGAGACAGCCCCAAACAAACAGTGTCAGGAGTCACTTGAGAGCAGCTGGAGGGGAAGGACCAAACAGCTGGGGAAGGACAATATGGACTAGTGAACCCAACCCTGGTGGCATTCAAGGGGAAGGTGCTTTGGGGCAGAAGCATTTGAAAGCTGGTTGGGAGAAACCCAGGAGACTCTGGTAAAGACCCCTCCAGCTGGGGGTACCAGCCCAAAGGTTCGGGGTGGGAGAGAGTGAGGCCATTGTGGTCATAGCACTGGACGTGGCAGGGTGCCTCACATTCCAGGCTAGGAAGCTGGGATGTCCTGAAGGCAAACAGGATTTTAAGTGGAGTAGTAACCACTTAGCAAGCTCACCCTGCCAGCTGGTGCAGGGTGCAAAACTGAAGCCGAGACGAATTATGCGGTTACTGCAGAGCTCAGAGATGAGGGAACCGGGTTTTCAGCTGCCGCGGGAATAAAGATGATAGGAAGGATCTGAGAAGAATGTTAAAGGCCATGGGAACAAACTAGCAATTTTGTGGATCTCCATGAGGGTCCATATAGTTTACTCAATAAATATTAGGTTCCTACTTCTAAGGGTTCCTGTAAGAATTAACTGGAGACAATCAACTGAACGTGTTCTTTAATAGGCTCGTTAATTCCTAAGCACTCTCTGAGTACTTACCTGGCATAGTGCTGGAGGCAGAGCCTCTGCCCTCTAGCTCCTAGACGAGTGGGGGAGAGTTCAAAGGCTCATGTTAGGGAAGAAAGACAGTCACTTCTCCATTCCTCTCGGTTCCCAAAGCCTTCATGGATTACCTGCTTCCTCCTAAAAAGAATTCTAGCCAGAATCTACCTTCTCAAGTGATGTTCCTGAGACCCTTCTGCTGGAAGCTCCCGTTAGGAGCGAGGGAGTGGCTGTGGAAGCTGGAGTGGATCCAAGAGCTCGTGCCGAGGCTGCGGGTCTGAAGACAGAAGCTTGGAGACTGACCAGAAACTCTTCCTTGGGGGTGCCCACAGCAAGCAGCGTGCGCTGCCCTCTGCTGGCCAGAGAGAGGACGCGCCCAGGGCCGGCCATTGGAATCAGCCAGATAGGGAGGGAAGGGATTTGTCACAACCTGCTCAGTTTAGACCGAGGAAACTGACTGACGCGGAGGTCACATAACTAACTGGTTGGTGGCATAGTACGGGTTCCTGCAAAGCCTGATGCACACACCTCTGTCCTCGGTGTCCCTCATCAGCCCTTGGAATCGCATCACCGCTCGTCCCCTGAGAGCCGGCCCTCCCCACCCTCCCCCTGCAGCCGCCAGAGGCGGGGCCTGCACCCTGGCAGCGGGCGCCCAGCAGAGGTGGGCTGCACCCACCCTCCTCCCGCTCGACCCTCAGGCACAGGATGCCACTATGAGCTCTCTCTGCCAACGGAGACAGTGGCGGAGGGTGGCCCTGGGGCAGCTTCTCCGACATCTGGGAAACGAATGCTGCCACTTTGTTAAATATAAAAATATATAAACTCTATGCATGTACAAGATACCCGCATCAAAATTACTAATATTTCCATTTTAAAAGTTTCCCTTCCTTAGGTAGTCAGTTGGCGCACATGGTGAGAGGGGCTTTGGGGGCTGCAGCAGGCTCTGCAAAAACGTGTCTTTTCAAATCTCGCCCTTACAGCCCGGGATGAGAATTTGTTGTTCGTAATCCTGTGCTATGTACAAAAGACTGAACAGCTGGACATTTAAGAATAAACATTTTCGGTTTAATAAATGAGCTAGAAATGTATCTGGCGCAACATGTTCCATTTGGATGTTACCGTTTCCCCATGTGCCACAGTTTTGCGTGGGCTGAAGTAAACAGGTCAGGCAAAAACAGCGCGAGAGGCGAAGGCAGTGTGTGTGGAGCCGGGAGAAGCGAGCGCCTGGTGCTGCGGCCCTTGCGGCCCCTCCAGGCGGAGAGGAAACCACCGCGCCTGGCTCTGCGTCTCAGCAGAAGAGGGTGTGCGGGGCCTGAGGGTGCTGGCCACAGAGGAAGGTTGATAATGGACGAGTCCGTGAAAATTGTTCTCTCGAGAAACACTAGAAAGGATTGTCCAGGATATTCACCCTCATAAGGAATTTGTTTTTCTGAATGTCCTGGGAGTTTACCTTGCTGGATACAATTTTTTCCCATGTTGGGAGGTTCAGGACGGTCTGAACCCACTGGTCCGCACTCAGCTGGGAGTTTGAGTACCACCATTCCTGAGAGGGGCAAAGAGAACACGGCCCCGGTCGGTGCTCTCTGGCCGGTGAGATCCAGACGGGTCAGACCAGAAGTGGTCCAATATCCCTGGGCTTCTAAAACCCTGTGCAGCCACAGGCAAAGAATGAATGTTGCTGCCCAAACTACTGACTGTAAATGAACAGGGAAATGTGTACTTTCGTTCATCATTCCACAGATCCTGAGCGTAAGGCACTGTGCCCGGCACTAGAGTGGTTTTTGCTTCTCAAAGGGGAGAAAAGACAGGCATGCATATATCACACAAACTGTAAAGTGGTGAGGGCCACGAGAGGGGCAGCGACCCTGCTCAAGGGACCTGGAGGAGGGGGAGGGCCCGTGGGAGCTCAGAGTGGAAGAAGAGGAGCACATACCTGAGCTATGGACATGTCACCCCTCCCAGTAAGAGTCCAGAAGCCTGTGGTGGCCTTCCACACCCACAAAACCTCACCGGCCTCGGCCTCGGCCTCTGGGCTCCCTCGGAAGGGTGAGCCCCCACCCAGCCTGCGGGCTGGTGGCACTTACTCTGTTCAGGCTCAGCCAGCACACCTCCAGCATGTTCCCCTGGGTCTCCGAAAGATGCAGGGCTGTGTTCAGGAAGAGGTCGCAGTTCTGCCCGTCACCCATGAGTATGCACACGTAGGCCATGAGGTGGTACAGCCTCGGGAAGAAGACAGGGCTGGTGCTGTTCTGCGTCACCAGGCTCTCCAGGTTCTGAAGAGGAGACCGCAGGTCAGAACCCGAGAGGGGCCCGGCCGCAGGTTTCCCCGCGGAGGGTCTGGGCACCGGTCCAGGATATAAGCCATCGAGGAAAAGGGACGTGTGATCTGCACGCACAGAAGGGAAGCAGAGGGGCAGGACGAGGGATGGCAGGCGGGGCACCCAGACCAAGAGTGCGAGACGGGTGGGCTCACGAGCCCTTCCCTGCAGCCGCCTTTTAAAAATATGTTTTCTTTTGATTTCCAAGGTGATTGTTCAACATATGGGGGGAAACAAAAAGAACAGCAAAAAATGTCAGTCACCCATAACCCTAGCACCCCAAAGGAAATAATGGTAACAGCTGGGTGCACGTTTCCTATTTTATTTCTCTGCCTTTACACACTCTCCCTCTCTCTCACACACACACACACACTGACTCTCACACTCACACACACACAGGTGCGCACTCACATACTCACACTCTCACACACACTCAGGCACACACAAGCACACATACACTCACATACGCATTCACTCTCACATTCTCACACTCACACTCTCTCACACATTCTCACACACACTCTCACACACATTCTCTCTCTCTCACACACACAAACACACACATACCACAGTTGGGATTATACTAATCACACGGCAGGGTAACATTTTTTCCTCACTTAACATCCTGTTATGAACATTTTTCAATGACACAGTCCCTTTACATCAGGGCTCACGATTTCGGATGTTGACAGGAGACAGGCAAGCGACACAGATAAGCAGGCTGGATGTAGCTAGGAAGCACAGGGGGTCACGTCCCACTGCAGAAAGTGTGCCCTAGTGTAACCTTGTCAATTCCAGCCAACGGCCACCCTTCAGGAGTGAGGGCCTCGGGTTGCCAGCTACTCAAGTTTTTAAAAGAAGGGTGAGAAATTCAGACTTTTAAATCATGAAATATCCCGATGTTTAAATGCACCGTTCCTGAGTTAGCCAGTTTTCTCTTTGAAGGGCACATCATTTTTCCATTTTCTCCCAGTGCTTTGAGATCAGCATCTCCACAGATACATTTTGTTTGCCTTGGGACAGTTCCTGGCGGGAGCACCGCTGGGACGGTGGTGTGCTCAGTGTGCAGACGTGTAAGCATTTGACCAGAATGTTTTCTAAAAAGTGCTTGAGGTTGCTTTACAGCATGAAGGTTGCACGAACAATGATCGCTGGAGGTTGACAGAGCCCCATTCATGGAAAGCAGAGGGCAGCCTCACCTTGAGTAGCTCGACGCCACTGTCCTGGGCACTCTCCGGCTGCCCTTCGATTTGCTTCTGAAGGTGAAGAACCTGGGCCTCCATATACCTGCAGATTCCTTGGAAGTAAAGAGCTGTGGGCGTCCTTCTTGGCACTAGACTTTTAGATTTACTGAAAAATATCTGAAAGTCGTCCCACTCCTGGAGTCTGGCATACCTGCACCGCCCCAGAGGAATAAGAAAAGTCAGTGTCGCCCTTGGAAGGGGCGGGTTTTCTGAAATTGGTCTCTGGAGGTGGCCCTGAAACGTGGGCTTCTGGAAGCCCCCCGGGGGGAGTTAGGTGGCACGGAGCAAGGGAAGAGCGGAATGCTTTGATGGTTTGAGGTGAGTAGAACCCTTGGGGACTCGGGGAGTAGTGGCCACCACTGATTTAACTCTCTGAACGCTGCAGAAACTGAAGCCGATCAGACATTTGGAGCTACACCTTCTGGGGCTTGAAGAAATTGCTCCAGCTCCAAAGAGAGGTGGCCTCGGCCAGTACTACTCAAAGTGTGGGCCATAGAGCGGTGTCATCAGCGTCACATGGATGGTCCTTAGAAATGCAGGCTTTCTGGTCCAACCCAGATCTGCTGAATCAGACGCTCTGGGGATGGGCCAGGGCGCTGTGTTAATAAGCTCTCCAGGGGATTCCAAAGCCACGGCTGGAGAAAGCACTCTCCGGGTAAAGGAGAGTAGGCTAAGATATGAGGATGACTTTTGGACTTTAGATTCCTTGAACTTAAACTCACATAGGCAAGTTAATTTGACTTTGAACTTTAATCTCTTTGGATTTTAATAATTGGCAAAGGTAGTTCATTTTTGGACTTTAATTTCTCCCAGGGAATTTTGATAATAAGAGATCTCTATTCAAATTTAGGACAGCTCTAGTTGGTGGCACTTTGCATAGGAGTGTCTCCACACTGCCATGTAACCTGTTCACCACATCTCTAAACATTGGGCAACGTGGCTGCAGATGTCATTTGAGATGGGAAGTGGAGCCGGGAATGACTTCCAGTCTCGGGGTAGCTGGGGAAGAAATTCCACAAACATCCTGAGCCTTACTGGCCGACTTCCTTGACGTCAAGGCCATGGCTGCGGGCTTGCTGAGCTAGAAAGGTGACGGGGTAAAGGGCCAACCTCGGGTCACGGGGTTGGCGGGGTACGGGCCTGTTTCTTCCTCACCCCTGATCTGGCCCGCGACGCGAGGCCCTCGCCGGTGCCCTGCCCCGCGCCCCTTCCCCGGCCTCCCTCACTACTAAGGGGTCACTTGGTTGGCCGCAGACTCTGGGAGAGGAGTTGGGCAGGTGTAGCTCAGCATGTGCCCCTCCCCCGAGAGCCAGCGATGCCCACAGCGAGCACGGCCGGCTCTTCCCTCTGCCTCCATGGGCGAGGCTGCAGCTGCTGAGTGGGTGCAGCTAAGCCTGGGGTTCAACATTAGGAAGCCCGCCTGCTGGCAGATGTCAGCCACACCCTCCAACACCAGCTCTACCAACAACCACTTTCACTATGATTAGGTCTTGGAGAGTGGCACCTGGTGCTGTTTATTAGTCTCCCCCAAACCTCAACCCTCCTCAGGGGCAAGGGCTCTTTCCCCTTGTCCCCTGAGCACCCCAGCGTGACATGTGCATAAGAGATGCCCGCTGCCTTGCCCACGGCTGAGGCACCATCTCCTCCCCACCTTGGGGAGGGGAATGAACTAGCGGGTGATCCCTGGGTGTTTCAGCGTCAGGCCACACTGACACCTTCCATCTGTCTCGGGTCACTTATAAATACTTTTTCTTTCTTTTTTAATCTCAAAGAACTCTGCAGCACTGAACGGGCTCAGAGCTGGGGGTCTAGTGACAGGCAGCCCAGTTACCAGATCGCCACGCATGAGTAGAGCCCCAGCAGGGTCCCGCTCTGGAACTTGAGGATCCTGTTGTCTTCGTTCTCCTGGATGAACTCCAAGCACTCGTTGAATGTCCTGTACACGAAGCCTGGACAGAGAGCGGGAGGGCTTTGCTGGGCGGGGGGCTCCTGGGAACTCCCCACTGTGCGGAGGGCCGCACCTCTGACTTCTTTGAGTCCGGGTCCTGGATTGCCACAGCCATGCGACTGCACTGCCTGTGGTGGCCGAGCCCACTTTCGTGGCCGTGCGCGCAGACATGACACAATTCTATAGCGTCGACCAGGCAGGAGTGGGGTTCACACCAGCCCTCCCTGCCCAAGCCCAAGGACTGGCCGTGTGCCACCAGGACTTCTCCACCTCCCCACCCACGCGTCCCCCGCCCAC